GATTTGTGTTTTTCTAAAGTACATTAAACAAATAATGACAAGTTTTAATTTTTCTAAGTTAATTACATACATAATACTCATACGATTTTTAGTGACAAGTGAACTACAGTCTAGTATGGTTCTATTATGAATATTAACCTTTCTAGTGTCATTGGTTCACCAGCTTTTAGTGTTTTAACACCTCAAAATACCAGTTCTCATTGTTATTTAATCTCACTGGCTATCATTGTTAGCCCTACTACTGTGTATCTAGTTGACATGTAGCTCTTTTATTGTGTCATTAGCTGCCACTGTTAGCACTTCTATTGTTTCACCAGTTGACACTGTTAGCTTATCTATTGTGTCACCAGTTGACACTGTTAGTCTGTCATATAAACTTGTGATTCTCACTAACAGAGGGCACCATAGACAAAAAACACTAGATAGACAGTCACTCAGTTTGATTTATCTGAAGAAAATTCAAAACTTTTAATTTACATAAATTAATATCTAGTAAATCAAAGGTAAAATTCCTTAAAAGTCGATAGCAAACTAACTTTCTGTAGTGTAAGGTTCATTTAGCTTCAAGCATTTAATTAGAACAAAAGTTTTCAGTATCATCAAAATTTCAAGAAATATTTGAGCTAATTTTAAACTCAAGTGTTATGCAACTTCAGTAAGTTACCATATTTTATATAGAACTACAGTGAAAAAGGACAGATTTGAGATCTAATTATAGTTTTGGACTCATTAGATCAAATATTTTTGATTGATGTGTTTGACCATGCCCAAGGTCTCATAGATTAATTTACTCTAATTCTGCCTAAAAAATTTTAATTTTATGGTAGGCTGGTAGAGATCCTGATGAGTAATAAATTTGAATCAGGTATACGCACGCCCCATGCTTGGTATTGTTGGTACACAAAAACATAGCTAATAAAGAGGGAAAAAAAAAGGTCTCATAGCTTAATTTACTCTAATCCTGCCTAAAAGAACTTCAAGTGCATTGGCTATTGAGGATTTCCTCTTGTTTTTTTTATTATAAAACTTCATTTCAATTAAAGTTATATCACCTATGATTATGATAGTAAGTAACCAAATTTTATACAGAACTACAGAATTGAAAAATGATTCAGTCTACTGCCTATCACTCCGTTTCAACCAGTACAGTATTCCTTTAATGCCAGAACACAATTCATATTAAAGAAAATTAATTTTACTAACACAAAAGTAATGACGTTAAAGACTCTTCAGAATCTTGTGGCTAGATATTTAAATAACAGACACTCTACTTACAGTGTCTCCACCTGGTTTCCATCCTGCAGGGCACACCTCGCCATGCTTATCCGTGTACTGGAAAGCCTGAACTAAACGTAATGTTTCATCCACAGATCTTCCCACAGGAAGATCATTCATGGTAATCTGACGTAGAATGCCCTTATTATCGATAATAAACAACCCTCTGAAATAAAGAACCAGTACTAAAAATATAAAACAGAAAAGACACAAATTTAATAGGTTGAAAATTAGCCCTATTCACGTGAATTTTTATCATAAGTACCCAGTTGATTGACTAAAGAAAAAATTAAAAAATGGCTAAAATAGAAGGAACAACTTGAACAGAAGTTACATATTTGTAACATCTATATTAAGTACAATTTGTCATTGCTGAAATCAAACTATTTTTAAAAAGCTTTTCTAAGGCTATTAGATTACCTAATGTTGTATTCCACTGTTACAATGATGAATAACATTTTGTATTAAGTGCGGAAAAAAAAAATATGGATGTTTTTAAAAGATTAGAACAGGATAAACCTACAAGTGACAGACTTCTTGAAATAATAATCTATTTTCTAAGTTAAGAGTGGTGGTAATCAATTAAATCTTTTAAGTTTAATATTAAGTAGTAATATTAATATTTGAAACTAATTATGGTCTCACCTCAAAGTGTGTCCCAAGTCTTCCAGTAAAACACCATAATCTTTAGAGATCTGATGAGTTAGATCCGAGAGGATAGGAATATTAATAGGTCCCAGCCCACCTTGCTTCCGGGGAGTCTTTATCCTTAAAAAAAACACACAAAAAAATGTACAATAATATTTTTTGGATAAAAAGTGAAAGTTTCGAATAGATGGGAGACTAGAGCCTACAACCTCACTAACTAATAAGGGAATTAAACAAATTTAACTATTAAAAGTCCGAGTTTATACTCCATTGGTTATCAATCCTCGTCAGCTTGTGAAGTTCAGAACTTACTTTACACATTATTCACAGTATAACTCACAACATAACG